TTTGATAGAATTTTCAAACATTTACATGGCTCCTAAGATAATATTGTCAAACAAGTTGTAATGAGAGAAACCGGGCTTTCGTCTCTGTTCCTTTTTATTGATTTTTGGTTTATCTTTCCATTGTCTCTTTTTGACTATGTAAAAATACTTTTATTTTTGAGATGGAGTTTCATTCTTGTTGCCCAGGCTGGAGTGCAACGGTGCAATCTCGGCTCACCGCAACCTTTGCCTCCTGGGTTCAAGCGATTCTCCTGCCTCAGCCTCCTGAGTAGCTGGGATTACAGGCATCCGCCACCACGCCCAGCTAATTTTGTATTTTTTACTAGAGACGGGGTTTCTCCAGGTTGGCCGGGCTGGTCTCCAACTCCCGACCTCAGGTGATCTGCCCACGTCAGCCTCCCAAAGTGCTGGGATTACAGGTGTGAACCACCGTGCCCAGCCATAAAAATACTTTTTAATATTCCTTCCCTGTTCCTGCATTAAAGATGGCATATTATAAAGTGTCCTATGTCCTATGTCATTCCTTCCTGTCTCAGTACGATCTTAGCAAACGACGCATGAGCTGCCCGTTTTCCCACAGCTTTGCCAAAAGAGTGCACTGTCTGTATTTTAGATTTTGGCCAATCTGATAGGTAAGAAATTATATTCTTGTAGTTTTAATTTGCATTTCCCTTATGAGTGAGGCGGAAGATCTTTTCAGATGTTTATGATTTATCTTTTTTTTGAGATGGAGTTTTCGCTCTTGTTGCCAAGGCTGAAGTGCAACGGCATGATCTTGGCTCACTGCAACCTCCGCCTCCCGAGTTCAAGCGATTCTCCTGCCTCAACCTCCCGAGTAGCTGGGATTACAGGTATACACACCACACCTGGCTAATTTTGTATTTTTAGCAGAGACAGGGTTTCTCCATGTTGGTCAGTCTGGTCTTGAACTCACAACCTCAGGTGATCTGCCTGCCTTGGCCTCCCAAAGTGCTGGGATTACAGGCTTGAGATACTGTGCCCGGCCCTCAAATGTTTAAGGCCTGTTTGCATTACTCTTCAAAGCAAAATTATCTGTATTTTTTGCCCATTTTTCTATTAAATGTAGGTCTTCAATTTTCTATTAAATGTAGGTCTTCATTATGTATTAGGGACATTGTGATAGAGGTCACTTTTTTTTTTTTAAAGACAGAATTTCACTCTTGTTGCCCAGGCTGTAGTGCAATGGTGTGATCTCGGCTCACCACAACTTCTGCCTCCCAGGTTCAAGTGATTCTCCTGCCTCAGCCTCCTGAGTAGCTGGGATCACAGGCATTGCCACCACGCCTGGCTAATTTTGTATTTTTTGTAATTTTAGTAGAGACGGGGTTTCTCCATGTTGGTCAGGCTGGTCTCGAACTCCTGACCAAGGAGCCAAGATCACGTTATTGCACTCCAACCTGGGCAATAAGAGCAAAACTCAGTCTCAAAAAATAAAAAATATATATATAATAAAATAAACTATGATATATAGTACATAGTTTATTTACAACAGAACACTTGTCTGCAATAAAAGATAATTCACTACTCATTTTTGAGATGGAGTCTTGCTCTGTCACCCACACTGGAGTGCAGTGGTGCCATCTCAGCTCTCTGAAACCTCCGCCTCCTGGGTTCAAGTGATTCTCCTGCCTCAGCCTCCCGAGTAGCTGGGAGTACAGGCACCCACCACCACACCTGGCTAATTTTTGTATTTTTAATAGAGATGGGGTTTCACCATGTTGGCCAGGCTAGTCTTGAACTCCTGACCTCAGGTGATCCACCCACCTCGGCCTCCCAAAGTGCTGGGATTACAGGCATGAGCCACCACACCTGGCTAATTTTGTTTTTAAGTAGTTTATTGTTTTACTGTGTGAAAATAATAGTTGTATGTAATAGGTAAGTTGAGGGATGTAGAATAATTAGAAAAGATGGAAAAAATTCACTCTTTACCAATAGCCAATTCATTCACCACTTACCAATAATCAATTCATTCACCATTTACCAATAATCAATTATATGTCATATGTAAAATTCACTACTTACCAATAATCAATTCTATATCATATGTTCGAAGTCTCTTATCCAAGCATATGTGCTTTTAAAAAATAATTGTTATCAGATTTTATATCATACTTTTTTCACTTATAACAAATGTTTTTATGATATTACAAGTTCTTTAAATATACAGTTTTTATATTTTTGTAATATTATATCATTTGGCTACAACATTTTAGTTAATGATACCCCATGTTGATGATTTCTATAAGTAATAAGATGATAAACATTTTTCAGAATAAAATTTTTCATGTGTGCTTATGATTTTCCCATAGATTAAGTTTACTGGGTAAAAGGCAATGGTGTTTAACACATGGCCAGTTTATACCCCTCTAGCAAACAGTAAAGAGCATACTATTTTATTCTTTCATTTAGCCATTCATCAAACAGGCCGAATCATTTGTTTATAATTCTGTTTTACTCAAATTATCTATTATTCTGTTTTTTACTTTTATTTTATTTCTTATTTTTAGAGCCTCTCACCTCAGCTTCTAGAGTAGCTAGAACTACAGGTGCATGCATCCATGCCGGGCTAATTTTTTTATTTTTTGTACAGACAGGGTCTTGCTACGTTGCCCAGGCTGGTCTCAAATTCTTGTCCTCAAGCCATCTCCCTGCCTCAGCCTCCCAAAGTGCTGGGATTACAGGCATGAGCCACCGTGCCCTGCCTTAGTTTATTTTTTAATTGACACGTAATAATTGCACATATTTATGGAGTACTTAGTGATGTTTGGATCCATCTAATGCGTAGTGATCAGATTGAGGTAGTTAACGTATCTGTCAAATCAAACATTTATCATTTCTTGTTGTTGGGGTCGTTCAGCGTCCTCGCTCCAGCTATCTGAAACTGTAGTTACCCTCCTGTCTGTGGAATGCTAGAACTGGTTCCTTCTGTTATCCAGTGTCCTTTAGCAAATCTCTCCATATCCATTATTGCTTTCTTTTCCCAAGAATCAGCACATAGTTCCATATCAGAAGAGACTACTGTTGTGGTGATTAGAATTCTAGCACTGGGCCTGGGGGGCGGAAACAGGTCTTCCTCCCACCACCCTGCCATTCTCCCAGGGGTCCCATCAGAGCTGACCTCTGGTGAGGCTGCTGAGTGTGGGCTTTGGCACCAGGTGGACCTGGGCTTGAAGCTCCTGTTGTCACTTGCCACTGGGGTCCTTGAATTTCACTTCTTTACCCTGTTCGTGCACACCTACCTCAGCAGCATTTCCTGTTGGTCCGTTAATGAAACTAGAGGCAACTGATCATGCTGATGAGTGTACTATGAGGGTTAGCGAATGAGAGGCAACCGATCGTGCTGGTGTGTGTGCGTCAGGGTTAGTGAATGAGAGGCGACCGACCGTGCTGGTGA